GTAGGAACCATCCAGCACAGCAGGACTCACACCCAAAATAGGGCAGCCTGATCCACCCAGTGCTGGCAATGATCCCTACTCCACGCCAATCCCCTTCCCCTCCAAATCGCACGCCGGAGGTGCCTGGAAGAGCACAAGCAGGCCTGTGCCGAGACCATTATGGACAGCGTGCCACCGGTGAAGGGGGACAGCCAGCCGCGGCCCTGGTGTGTCTCCCAATATAGATGAAGCCGTCACACCAACAAGCCACACGTGGGACTAAGGACTCTCATCCCTCTGGTGCAAGCTTCCCCTTCCCGTCCTGCCCTTAGAGAATCCGGTCTCGTAGCCTAGAAGAACCCATAAAGTGAAACCCGCACCAACAGTACTACCACAAGTACACAGACAGCAGTTAGAAGTTGATATTGTATACAAAATTCTGTATGCTTTTACTAGATGATGTGAATTTTCAGGACCATGTACGTATCAGCCCCTGTATTAGCGCTATCAAAAACCACACCTGGGAAGACAGCCATTGCCTGAAGAATGTGAATCTGCATCTGAAAGAAATGAGCTGCATCACCGAAATCTGAAAAGGCAGTAGTTGCCCAAGAGTGACCCACAGGTAAACAAGGTGTTGAGCTGAAGGAAACCCAAATGTTCCCATGGAAAAATAAATTAGCCATGGCAATAGCATAGGTGGAACCATTTAAAATCACATATGAGAATGCAACACCCTCCAGTAAATCATCTGGGTGCTCCTCCAGAACTGTCACTATGTCTATGCCTATTGCCTTAACATTAATGAGTATTTCGGTACTTGGCCTGCGGTTCTGCTGTTTGTGTTTGGTAATCCACGCTTGAAGACCAGCTCTAAAACCTGGCTGCAATACCAGAAGCCTCTTCGTCCACAGCTCTTCACTCTCTCTTTGCCTTTGGAAACTGATACCAGCAAAGGCCCAAAGCTTCGCTCTGCAGTTTCTCCTGACTCTGCCCGAAGCATTACTAGCTCCTGCTCTGCCATACGTCAGTTGGTGCAAAGGCTCATTTCATGCAGAACTGTGGTTTTTTGCTTTAGCCCTTCACTAACAATTTCCAACATCCTGTTCACCTTTTTGACTGCTGCTGCGAACTGAGCAGAAGCTTAGAGAGCACCAGTCATGGCGATTCCAGGACACTCACAACTGGGTTCCACCATCAGGATTATTTTTCCGATTTATGTTACTTTGCTTATATTAACACTGGATTTCAGTTACTGTTTAAAATACCCCAGCAGCTTTTATTTTCAGTACCTTCAATAACTTTACCTCAGCAAACTCTGTCACACTGCTGTTCACTATGCACAGTACAGGAGCTTGCGCAGCTCTTTGGAGCTCCACAGGGAACAAGTTAGGAACTGCTGACACTATTTTCCATGTAGTAATGTCATGCTGAGCAAGCCAGAATTTCAGGATGCATAATTAATCAGCTGCCCATATTTACTCCGGATTGAATGGATTTTGCTTTTGTCCAGAATAGACAAGCTGGTTCCGGAGAGCAGTATGTGCAAGCACCGTGAGCCAACTGTAAATTACTGACACAAAACAACCAGTGTGCATCAACAGTATTACAGTAAATACCAACACACAGGTTTTAAGGTTTTAGGAGACATGAGCAGCCTTTGAAGCAGCACAGGTCACAGCTTCCACGCAGGAAACCAGTCCAGGCAACGCGCCCAGCGCCCCTTTCCTAACCGTTCTGCGACTCAGTCCTACATTGCAGCACGCTTCTGGCTGTGAACGTGGAGCAAGGCCCAGAAAACTGAGTGGCAGAAGGCAGAGATCAGGCGTATGACACGAGCGCGAGGGAGAAAGACAACACAGAAAGTGGCATTATCAGGGAAGGAGCAATCTGCTTTAATCCTCCCCTTTTTTCAGATTTCCACAGATGTTTGGAAACACTAGTAACAGCACTGATGTTGCACGGACTTTGGAACAGCTTGATTACAACCAAACTCAAGTGTGGTTCTTCAAAACATCATTAACAAATCATTTACATCTAACAGAAAATGACATACTCCCCTCTTCTTCAGCTGCAGAAGAGACTATTTAAGCCCCTATTCACACACTTCCCCAGAGAGGCACTGTATTATGCTTGAGATTTCTAACATCACATTATACTGTCTCAGAAGCACAATCAAGTAATACAAAATCCATCAGCTGATCCACGACTAATCAAGTGCATTCTCTTTGTTCCAGGTGGTTAAAGTGAAGGTGGGAGGAAAATTACCACGGCTACTCTGCCTTTTACTTGCCTGCACTGGAGCTGGAGGAGGCATTAAGCACGTGCACAGACCAAGCAAGCATCCCTCCTCGCACGAAATCCAACACCACGTGCCTGCACCAGCAGGCATTTTAAAGCTGTAATAACCCCCCCACACTCATTGCCCCCTGTATTTTCCAGTAAAGGGCTTGTTCAAAACAAAGCAAACACCCAAAACCAGAAGACCAAGGCCACTTAACCTACAGGACACAAATTTCTCAAATAAGCTCCAAGAAATGTGACGCTTGCATGCTTGAACCAACTCCCCACCTATGAAGAAGCCTCCAGGCCACTTACTAGCAGAGAAGGCAACTAGTTTCCTCTTTCCTCCCCACGACTACCAAGTTTTCATACCCCTGCACCACGTCACAAGCTACAATCTCATCACTGCGTACAGCTGCTTTTGTTGTTCCTTCTGCTCTCCCAGTTAGCTGTAGCTCTCACTGGTCCTGGAATACAGGGATAGGCACATCCGCACGGCGCATGTCTCACGTGCCCACATCACTTACCAAAGCACACTGCTAAGGGTACAGGACGGTATTAAATTCTGCAGTGTACAAATCATATATATTTAATGCAACTTGTGAGTTGTCTGCGTGTGCATCGTGCTCCTCTCAGATTCTGAATCATGCCTGTGACACATCTTTCCTGGCGTACCGCTTCCCTTTGCTGCACACAGGCATAGAAAATGAAAACCAGGACTCTTACAGACTCTCTGCTGCATACTTTGGCTAGCATTAGATGTTCTTCGCTTCCATTTTACCTCTAGACACTGCCACCTTTACTCCTTTTACTCCCATTTGGCTCAAGAACTGCTTCTCCCACGGCTTCCCCTTCCCACCCCCCCCACCCCCTCCTTCTGTGTCCCTAAGAAAAACACTGCAGCCAGGGACTGCAGCAGAGCTTGAAATCCTGCCCTGTGACTTTTCTTCACCAGGGCACAGCGCTGCTGCGTGCCACTGACCAGCCGGAGTAGGAGTCCAGCCAAGGCGGTCAAACACTACCCAAGACGAACTCATCAGTAATTTCAGTCAGAAGCCTGCACCCTGTGGTGTCCTGTGTCCAAATGATCCCGGTTTGTTCGATACCTCAAAGTCAGTCCTTCATTTTGTCTTGAGGACAAGGCACATAACCATTTCATGAGTCGTATTTTCAGGTTGCTCTTCCTTACACATACACGCAAGATTTTTCCCTCCCCCACGGTAACTTCCAACAAGCGATCATTACCCTGATCATCGAGACACTTAACCAGGCAGTGGGTTCAAGAAAAGAAAAGAAAAAAAGAGCTTAAACGTAGTATGTAAATTTAAGCACACTGGTACTTCCTGATAAATCAGGACCTAACAAAGCTCATTAACCAGAGATACACAACGAAAAAAATCTACAGATATAATAACTTTTTATTTAAGTTAGCTGAGGATGCGTATTTGGCTCAGGACTGTTTATCCTTGACTTTAAAGAGACTGACTGCAAATAATATTAAAAAAAATAGAAAATGTAAAATTAATCAAAATTTTCAAAATTGTCACAAGTTTTGAAAACACTTGTATAAATTCTGCAAAGTTTGTATACCCTTAAAGGGGCATCAGTTACCATATATAATGATATTTGAAAATATTAGTACTTTACCCTAAAGTTTAAACATAGACATATTCATGATGCGTGCAACTTCAAGAGGGTATCAAAAGTGATACGGTTAGAAAAATATACATACTTTTGCTTCTGGAAAAGAACAGGTCATTTGAAATATCTGTCAAATAAAATACTAAAAAAAAGCCTCTCCACAGTTTTTTTTCACAGTCCGACATAAAATGTATGTTTACATACAGCTTATGCAATCTGTCGTTTTCAGAAGATATAGTCAAAGTTTCGCCAGTACAGAAAAACGTAATCTGTTACTGCTCTCAAACCTGTTGGCTGCGCTGATGTGTGATTGTTTAGGCAAGCCAAAATAGGAGAGCCATACAAGCGATACACAAAGCAATCACAAGAAAGGTAAGGGAAAATGAAAATAGACAAGAACAAAGGAAAGCATATTGATAAAGATAGCATTGAGAGGAATAGTGACCAACAGTAAAAGACATGAACTCTTTAGTAGCATGCAGTAATTTCTACAGGGGGGAAAAAAAAAACAACCAACATACTCCAAGTATTAAAAGGACACTTTCATGGTACTTGTCATGAATTTTAAGAAGTAATATTAATGATTACTTTACTGTCTACTGGAAATAGCCTGGACTGAATTTGTTTCAGTGGATACAGTTTGTTGCTGTGCTTCAGTTTGTGGCAGTGTTAAAGTTCAATTGCACACACCCCAAGTAAACCAAAACAAAATGCCTAAGTTTTTGAAAAGAAGTGAGATAGCAAGAAAAGTTCAAAAACATGTGCTTTTAGTACCTGAGTGCAATACAGTAGCCAACATAACTATGATTATTACTTGTTTAAATTAATTCTGGTGTAAAGAATGATTTCAGACGAGCAACATGGCACTTGCAACAGTGACTGAAGTTAAAGAGATGGTGACACTTCAAGATCTGAACTCCTTTACAGTGTCCTTTTAAGTGTCAGTAGACTAGTACCTTAGCTGCAACTGAAAAAGAAGAGGCAAATCCTAATGAAATAACCCAAATCAAGAATGTTCTTACAATATTTCACAGTAATGAAGAAACAGTGTATGGAACTACTGAACAGAAAAAAGCATGAAGGATAATAGCAGCATATGGTTTACAGTTTTCACTTTTCAGTTTATTAATATTAGTGGTGCACTCAGCAATGGATAAAGCAAGGAATGAAATTTGTCAAAACTGGCAATTATCTACGACATGTCAACACTTAATTATGGCCCTTGTAAACATCTAAATCCTTTTTGAATTTTAATTGCAAAGAAAAGAATATTTACATATAATATATATGTATATAACCACAAAACCAAAATTCAGTCAAATCCTTATCAAGGAAATCACATTTTGAAGAGAAGAAAACATAATACAATATTAAATAGTACATGTCCAAAGATTTTGAAGGCATCGTGATTTTCATGTTTTCTTCCTCCAGTCATTTGCCCCTGGATTTTAATAGACTAAATACTTCATTTCAGAGTAAATAAGTGGAAATATTATAGAGCAACTCCGGTAGAGAACAGCTCCACTACAGAAAAATGCTCGAGGTGTGGTGATCCATGACTCTGACTTAAAGCAAAAATAAACAGCGTATAATGCCACAGCAAAGAAGTGGCCAATCAGTACCATTGGTTTAGGAGATAACCTGTATTAAAAAAAAAATAGATAAAACATGTAAATAAACAGAATCAGAAAGCACTGACAAATTTTCATTTTACAAATGGACATCTCCAATCAAGATTACACACAGCTTTCCAATTTAGGCAGCTCTGGTCCTGCCACCTCAACTAAAAATATGAACTTGGTTGTCCTGGAGCTGCCACACACCCTGCATTCCTTTCTACAGTATAGCCAACATACACTGCTGCTTTCTCTTCACTTCCAGTAGTCTGTGTCTGCCTTTATTGTCCCCCAGGGGATTATTCTCAACAGGCTCTATCAGTTTTAGCTCTCATTCCAAAAAGGGAGAAATATACATGCACACATTCTCACATGTTCCAAGTAGTATGATTTATTGTGCATTCACTAGTTTCTGAGGGCTCATTCAAAACACCTTGGTAGTTACTGATTTCCTTATGCGTTTTATGGAAGACCTCATCCATTACTATTCTCAACTTGTCAAACACGAAATGTCTCCACCAGCTCCTCTGCTAGTCTGGACCCCTCTACCTCATTCAAACTCCCATGCCACCTACATTAACCTCTCTCCAGCTTTTAGTGGCCTTTTTTTTTTTACAAAGAAAAAAAAAAAAGAGTCAGCATTTAAAGACATAGCTTCTAATAAAGCTCCAACCTTTAGTATAATCCTAAAAATATAGGCTCATGTGGAGCATTGCAAACAACACTAAGCTCGGCGGGAGTGTTGATCTGCTTGAGGGTAGGAAGGCTCTACAGAGGGATCTGGACAGGCTGAGGCAATGGGCCGAGGCCAACTGTATGAGGTTTAACAAGGCCAAGTGCCAGGTCCTGCACTTGGGTCACAACAACCCCATGCAACGCTACAGGCTTGGGGAAGAGGGGCTGGAAAGCTGCCAGGACGAAAAGGACCGGGGGTGGTTGCCCGCCAGCCGGCTGAGCATGAGCCAGTAGTGTGCCCAGGTGGCCAAGAAGGCCAACAGCATCCTGGCTTGTATCAGGAATAGTGTGGCCAGCAGGAGCAGGGAGGTGATTGTCCCCCTGTACTCGGCGCTGGTGAGGCTGCACCTGGAATACTGTGTCCAGTTTTGGGCCCCTCACTATAAGAAAGACATTGAGGTGCTGGAGCGTGTTCAGAGAAGGGCAGCAAAGCTGGTGAAGGGTCTGGAGCACAGGCCTTATGAGGAGCGGCTGAGGGAACTGGGGTTGTTTAGCCTGGAGAAAAGGAGGCTGAGGGGAGACCTTATCGCTCTCTACAACTACCTGAAAGGAGGCTGTAGTGAGGTGGGTGCTGGGCTCTTCTCCCAAGTAGTTAGCGATAGGACAAGAGGAAATGGGCTCAAGCTGTGCCAGGGGAGGTTTAGATTGGATATTAGGAAAAATTTCTTCACGGAAAGGGTGGTCAAGCATTGGAACAGGCTGCCCAGAGAGGTGGTTGTGTCCCCATCCTGGGAGGTATTTAAAAGACATGTAGACGTGGTGCTTAGGGACATGGTTTAGTGGTGGACCTGGCCGCATTAGGTTAACGGTTGGACTCGATGATCTTAAAGGTCTTTTCCAACCTGAATGATTCTATGATTCTCCCTGTGCAGAGCCAACCAATTGGGAGCAAAGCAGATCCTCACAGAGGCTCACAATGTTCCATCCGCTTCACATTAACTATTACCAGAACGCTGAACTTACACAGATAGCAATCCAACAGGACCCGAGACACATTCTCCACCAAGTCTGAAGTAATGGAAACAGGCTTGCTTGAGCTGATGCAAGGAATCTACAAAATGAATTAAAATGACTCAACAAATATATTCAACACATACCAAAATATTTTCCAGCATACGCAACAGTGATATTAAATCCAGGACTTGGGTACTTCAGTAGCTGTTGTTCTGTTAAATTTAGCTGGATTTTTAGTTAGTTTTATTTAAGTAAAGCATAGGCTTATAGAATAGCTACATATTCTTAAATAGTAACTGACACGAGAACAAGTGTTTTCTGTTTTTTTTCTTTGGTCGTGGGGTTTTTCTTTGGTTTTGCTTTTTTAATACTAACTCCAGACTTGCCTTCACTTTGCTAAAACTCAGTTTACATAACACTAGAACTAAACAACTAGGCAGAGAACACAAGCTAACTCATTAAAATCCTTTGAGTGATATATTTTTTAATATATATCAATATACATATATACATATGCATCTATATAAAAAAATATATACAGACAAAGACATGGACACATGCTTATACACATACACATCCCCTCCCCAGCCATATTTATTTACCAAGTTGTCATTAGTCAGAAGTTATCTTTAAAATATATTTACCATCTGTGGCAGCAAAGAGTTCATAAAGCGCCTGGGCAAGAACATTCACTACAAAAGAATGAGATTTTTTTCTTGCCCAGTAAAATGTTCTTTTTGCCTGAAAAAAGGGGGAAAAAAAAAGTATTTTTGTCAGTAAATACAGAAGAGCATTCAAAAGATCCCCAAAGAGGTGGTAAGAGTCATACTTGTGAAAATGTAGAGGGGATTTAGTGATACACTAGATCAGTTCCAAGCTAGTTCTTAAGGAACTTTGGAAACTTGTCGAACCAGTAATCCCAGCTCCTCTTACACTAAATATATGAAAAAACCAAAGGTAGTTCCAGGGTGTGCTTCATCTCATCCTATAGTAGGCATCTGGGGTAGGTCAGAAATTTGAAGGATAACACTCACCTAGTTCTCTCTGTTGACTAAGTAGGAAATAACTGAAAGTCTGAGGTGACTAGCTGAGATGTAAGTATCTGCATTTGGTCAGGTAAATCCTATATTGTCCTGACATTCACGGTCCCTCTAAGTGCTTCTCAATTTTCAAATATACCTTTTGAGTCATTTACTTGTAGTCTATAATTATTCTATAATTTAGCCAAGACAATATGCCTAACCTGATTAAAAACAGTAAGCAAATTAAGAAATCTCATTACCTACTCATCAGAATTTTATACGATCTGAAGAGAAACCAGAGTATTTTGGGTATAAATCTCACTGAAAAAAATAAACCCAGCATCAACACTGATGGTGCTGATTCCTGGGAAAGAAGGATGTCTTCTAACTTACTACTCTGAGATTAACGTGGCAGTCAAGAGGCTAGTGGAGCACCGAGATGCGTCTTGACAAATTCCTTACGCATACTCATTATTCTCTAAGTACCACTCACACCCTATTTAAGATCAATCTACATTACAAATGCACTACTAAAATGGGAGTATCAAGTTATACTAGCAAAGCATGCTGACTAGACACAGCACAGCAGTATCCTTAAGCAAAACACAACAGGTCAGTAAGCACAGTTTTGAATCTGCCTTTTGCCACACAGCCATAGCACTCACAAATCACAGCTCCACTTACTGGTGAATGCCTAATGTATGGCTTATCTACCCAACGCTTTGAGAACAGCTGTGCTTCACTAATAACTTGCATGTCCCCAGGTTGCATAAAACTGTGTAAAAAGTGTGTAATTAAATTGCAGCAAAAGCTGCCTAAAATAAGTCCAAAATAAAGCTTCACCTTAAGAACATCAGAATCATCATAAAGGTCTGGAATATCCTGGAGCAAACTTCTCCATATTTTAACATCATTTAAAATAACACTCATTCCTCCACCAGTTAGCGGGTGTCTTATATTGTATGCATCTCCTAAAAGAAGAACACCTAGGTAGAAGAGAAAAATTAATGGGATACTGCATGACCATTACATAATCCTAGAACTCAAACCCTCTATTTTTTTAAAAAATCAAACTTACTAAGAATTCATTCCCACCAGAAAATAAGATGAATAACAACTAGAAATTAAAAAAGAAAAAAGAAAGGGGCGGGGGGAAGGATGTCTTGAAATTAAGAGGCTTAAAAAAGCTTTAAGATGATCAAGGTCAAAATATTTTTTCCCCCTATAGGTATGCATGTGTGTGTGTCAAACACACACACACACTTTTCGACGTAATTTCTTCCCTTTTTTAATCAAGTTTTCCTTAAAAAGACCATACTTGTATAAGCTTCAGCAACTGAGTGATTTAAACTTAAAAATAAAGCAGGCACTGATTTGAAGTCCGGTGTCAATATAAACATTCCAGTTAAACTATGCCCAAGGTACACACTTTCAAAATAATATTTTTCAACAAACATACATACACCTATGACAACAAAGCCTTAAGTCCCAGAAGAAGTTTATAACGCTTTTTTCCCTCCTTTTATTTCATAATACGCACCTTTTTTGTTAACAGCTGAAGGAGGCAAGAAGCTGGCTGGCATAGTCCTCAAACGATCATTCTGAACTGCTATTAAGAATGGTTCCTTTAAGTGATCTGCAATAACCAAATTTTTTAGTTACACTACTTAAGAGTCTAAAATAATTTGCTCACAACCCTTTTTAACCTCTTCTTAGAGAGATAATCTTTCTGAATTGCCAACCTCCCAGATGTGAGCTGAACTGCTATTTGATGGGGAATCAAAGAAGGATGAATGGTTACGGAAACAGTTCAATGGATTCAATGAGTTGTGCCTCTTTTGGCACATTTAATTGTGACAATTATGGATGGAAATCTTTCTAGACTTACCCGGTAGTTGTGGATGAATGTTCTCAATCATGTATGCTTTTAAATTTTTTGGCATTTCCCCTCGAATATCAACAAGGACCCGAGTCTCAGTTGAAGAAATCTGATAGATTAGCACTGGACTAGTTTTAGCTAAAACAAGTTCAGCATAATTAGCTTTAAACTGTGGTGCATCCTTAAAAAAGGAAAGAAGGGGGAGAAAGACCGAGACTGGTTAATGAAAGGATATTAAAGTTCAGATATATAAAATCATTTACTGAAATACTTTGAAATAAAATCCTGTTTCATATTCAGTTTGTGTTATTTTTCTCTTTAAATGAACAAGAGAAGTGTTTTCAAAAAGACAATTCTGCTCTTCAGTGTAGTTACAATTCTTCTGGCAATACATTTTCATGTTTACTAGAATTCGTGTCAAGTTATACATTTCATTTGAACACCTCACTAATATTTAATACATGCCATTGAAAACCTGTTAATGTAATCAATGTAGTAGTTTTCTGTAAGATCATTTTGTTTTCTTTTCATAAAGACGGTGGTGGGAGGGCAACAAATACACTAGTCTGTATACGATTACATGGAGATACCAACCGAGGAAGAATCATAGGGTCCTGTCTAGCCAGGTCTTAAACAAGTTTCCAAAAGTAGAGAAACAGAAGGCACTTGGGCAGTGGTAACTATAGGGGTAGGGACCCAAGAATTGCTAAAGTTCCTCCAAGTCAGTGTTCCCAGTCCAGTGAAAGTTCTGCGGTTTTGGTTCCTTCTTCCTCAATTATTTTTGCTGTCAATCCAACGGTTACTGCAGGAGCCACAGAGGGCAAGACCCAGCCACGATCCCAACCTGAGTCCTCCAACCACCCAGCTACCAACACAGACCCCCACTTTCTCTCTTAAAAGTTTATAGATCCTGAAGGTATATATGTACCTGGTTACAAGGTACCCCACCTTCAGGCAGGAGCACAGTTTGGGTATTCTTACGGAGTATAAAACACAGGTGGTTTGACCCACAGCTGCTAGGATGACCTATGACTCAAGATTTCCACTCTCTGAACAAGTGCCATAAGTATTGCAAAATAATGAGCGTCATCATCTTAGCTACCGGTTAACACAAACCAGTCAAAGCACCTATATCCTAAGCACCTATTACAAATTGGGTTCCAGCTTTACAATGGTGCCTACCTCTAATCCAGAGATTAGTGCTATACAAGATATAGCACTAACAGCACACATAGCACTACCTTATATGAAATGCTGAGACTTTTTTTTTCTTTAAAAAAAAAAAAAAAGTATTTTCTATGAACTCGTCTAGTGAGTCCAGTGCTCAGTTTAAACTAGCTATGTTGAAACCTAATCCAGTTTTTTTAAGCATATAGTTGAACAAGGGAGGGTTTAAGATTAACACTGTACTCCGCTCTTAAAACCAGAAATCTAACTTCTAACAGTAGCCACTTAAAAAAAAAAAACAAACCCCAAAACTTGCTCGCAGTTACTTAAGAGTGTTTTAAGAGTTGAAAATCTGATCTGTAACTGTATCTAATATATCAAGTCTGACATAGCAAGTTCAGCTATCCTAGAGCTGGGATGGAGTATGCATCAATAATTTAGGAGTTAAAAACACAGACCAAAATTTCCAAGCACTCCCCAAAGGGACACAGAAACTGACAGAACAGCCAAATAAGTATCTAAAAGCATAGTTCTAATTGATTCTGTTGGAAAAGGTAACGAACAACAACATGTTCAGTGAAATTCAGACCCACGTTAGGAAGCAGTAGCATACTGGCTTAGACACTATTATACATAAAAGTTACCTTCAAAATGCAACCAACAAAATGGGATGAAACAGTAACTTTGTTGGAGACCAAGTTTTTTCTAAACTTGGAAAAAAGTCCATCAGCTACAACAGTAAGTGGTGCATGAAGCTCCTGCAGCATAAAGAAAAAATTTTTAAAAAAGATATGACATTTTCCATTTTGCTCCAGAACAGTGGGAAACAACTTCCAAGCTCTCATTTTCAATTGCACATTAGACGTTCTACAAAACAATAAACATGTTAAGAGGATCACAGACCATATTTATAATACATATATTAAGAAATACAGTATTTTTTCCTTCCTCATATTCATATTTACCTCTATTTCCTCTAAAAGTTGATCTAACAATATACTCTAGCTTTTTTAGCCATGCAATCAGATAACATAGTTATGGGGACTGTGTAGGAACTTGAATAAAAAGAACACAAGAAAGTAGAGTAATTGCTCCCTTCAGCCTATAATACTGTTCAGGAGAAAAAAAGAGAACAAAGAAGAAATTTTAAATTAAAGAACCATGTATAAGCAACTAAACAAAAAATAAACCAAATTGTAACAAACTAAAATGCAGGAAGCATATCAAGATCTTCTTTAAAAGACCAAGCAGTGAACTCTGAGCAGTTCCTAGTATACTTAGGAACTATAAGAACAAATAGTGTATACAGACAAAATACAAAGTAAGATCTGAGTGAACCGATTAGGTTCAGCCTGAACATATGCACAAATTCCTAATGTTTAATACATACATTGTTCTGTAACATAAGCATATTATTCTGATTATTAAAATAATTTTTTAAGCATTTTACTGTTACATTAATATAACAACATTATTATACTAGAAAGCATTTAGAGGTAGATGTTTCCTTCTACCTACAGCTTTCTCAGTGTCTGTATATTCAGTGATATAACTGCAAATGACTACAGTTTTATATTGAGCATTAGTCCTTGGCCTTCAATAATCTCATACATTTGTCATGAGCTGAAAAAAAACCAAAACGTTTTCCTTTTAAGCTTTTGGGATATAAGTAACAAGGCAAAAAAGCACGCCGTGTTTCATTAGTACTCCTGGAACATATTTTAGTATTGGATGGAAGCATCTGGTGAGCCAGTATGTGAATGGGTTCCTCTACGAGCAGCGCTCTCCTGCATAGGAATGGACTCAGTCACTTGTGTCACGCAATCCTTACACCTTTTGCTGTGCAAAGGGAAGTCGGACAAAATCAGATGAGAATAGAGCTGAGCAAAATAATACACATTTATGGTGTCGAATATACGTTTATGGTGTCTAAGCTTATAGAAGCGAGCTCTTGAGTGGAGCTAATGAAACCTCCTTCTGTGGATTCCTGTCTCAGATGACTGCAAGCTCTAATTACTCCTGCAATTAGAGCAAGGTCACCTGCCCATATCAGTTCCCTAGTGTCTAATGATCTGAACATTCATGCTACAATTTTTCCACAGTTGACATACTAAGACCTTTACTCTATTTCAGTTGCCTGGTTTTGATAAATTTTGTATGTTGATTTTTAGCTTACTGGCTAATTTCAACCTCACTTAAGAGAATAAAAATCTTAAAGGTAACGTGGTGGACAATGGGGACGGAGGGAACAGAAAAATACAGACACACAACATAGATCAGCCTCCTCTCTTTATGAAAGCAGGCTAAGGAATGTGAACGGGCTTTGGGTTTGGGTTCCATTCGCCACCGCCCCCCGCCATGCCAAGTAGCTTCCCAGCTGTAAAAAGTCACAGGTAGGGACACACAGTTAAGAAGAAATGTTTAGTGGAAATTTCTTACACTAGATTTCCACAATCAAAGGAGATCTAGGCCAGCAAATTAAACAGCTCTTTCCAGCCGCAAAACTTCAGCATTCAGAGCAAAACATGAATTTGCTCATCCCCATCACACAGATAGGAAACTCAAAGCCTTAGGAACATCCAAGCTCTCAGGAAAGATGCAGGCTAAAACACTGGTCAAGTAAGTCACACTTAAAATTACAACATCATCATCCATAAACGTGTAAAGTTTAAAAACAAATCTCAAGCAAAGTATGCACTATCCCCCTCCACCCCCAAAGAAAAACAAAAAAACCCCTTCTACACTGCTGGATGATAAAGCCAATTGGATTGGGGGTGGGGGGGAACAAACCGCGCCCCCCACCTCCTCCTCTCCAAACTCCCTGCCTTTCCAGTACCCATGTGAGATTCAGTGGCTTATTCTACTAGAGTGGATTTCCTAATATGGTTTTATTCATTTTACATGACATGTAAGGCAGACCAAAGGAACAGCACCTGGCACTCCCCCTTCCTCCAGCTACCTCGAGGGGACGAGGGTGGTGTTCCCACTCTCTGTGGGAACTCTCTTACAGCTTCCTACTCACAGCACTTTGCCATCAGGTGGCCTGAAAAATGCCTTTTGCCCAAGGAGGGTCTAAAACGAGCTCTCCTCCATCTTGGGGAAGTACTTTTAAAAGGCTCTTTTACACATGGCTTTATACCACCATTTCCATTTCTAAATGACCTAAAGATGAGAGATTTTGTTAGTAATGCTCGGAGCAGGATCTTCCAACTACTCAGGACCTTTCTCAATCTTGTATGGAGGGCAGCAGAGTGTAGACGGGAGATTCCTGTGTTCCCCATCAGGGCAGATCTGAACACACTGGCTACGTAACTTCAGGCAGTAAAGCAATTTTAAAGCCAAAGGGGGAGATTTCAAGTTTGGCTTTTCTAGAGAATAGGCCATATATCCAGAACTTCAGCACATAGATTCTACCTTACATTGGTCTCTCCTAAACTTTTTATTTTAAGTTCATACAGTTTCATAGCATTTAGCCAGCAGTTTAGCATTATTTGAGGCAAAGAACATTAATCAAATCAGTGATGCAATTAAAATAGGCCAGAACTCTGGTGGAAGTGTACATGGAAATGTAGACTGCTACACACAGGCAAAGCATAGATCTTAATATATTGGTTTTTCCACCAGTAACTCTCAAAAGATTTTAAACTCCAGACATACGGATATCGAAACAAATAATGAATTGAATTCTCCAAAGACACTGAAAGCAGAAGCTGCACAAGAAGTTATAACAAGAATTCCCATATGCCAGGACTGTATCCACTGGAAAGTAATCTGCCTTTATTTTAAAGCTTTCACTTTCTTGGTAATTGCATGATTTCTGTACCAGTGCTCTGAAATAGAGGGGGTTTAAAATTTTTTTATACACATATATAAACAAACCTTCGATTTTCTCAATAGTTTAACAAAGATTGTAACAGAAACCTGTCTTACCTTAGTGTCTCCAGTTTCTTTGTCCTTGTACTGAACACCCACGACACAGTCATCTTCCTCAAGCAATTGTAACACAGTCCCCTCAATGAATTTTGCACTGAAATAAAATGGAGAGGTCAGAACAGAATGGAAGAGGATTAATGATGCCAACATTTCAATGCAGTAGACACAGAAGGAAAACCAGATTTTCACTAATCTTGTCTCTGCCAACACAAACACTTTGTTTAAATTTTACAGACAAAGATGTGTTCTTGACCACCTTCAAGAAGCCACATCGAATGTCAAAAAGTGGTTGTCATTAATTTCAGTTCAACACTACCATTTGGTTTGATACTTGAGAACATTCTAAAACTGTAGTGCTTATCTTAAACACCCTACCACTTAGCAGAATCCCCAGTTGTGCTTCAGGTGCTCCATGGCCACGTGAGAGATACAGAGAAGAGTTTGACAGCTAAAAATGGTCAGAAATCAGGCAGCTGACTGAGTCATCCCTGCTAAATGGTGGGAAACGCTGACAGTGCGGGTGAGACCAAATTCCAAGCAGAATTCAGGAGCAAGATCTGAAGTAGCACTTCAACACTTAACATGTACACTAGACAAAAGTGAGATACCTAATTCTCAGAGTAGCCCAAAATAATCTAACCAACCTGTTTAGGACAGAGACATCTAGCTTTTCACCTCAGAAATATAGGATACACTTGTTTGTGGGTTTTTTTTTTCATTTGCTATTTATGCTTTTAAAGTTCTGCTAATGCTTATGTTTGGAGTTTGAACTGAGCATCCTCGACTTCCACCTCCCAACCAGGGCTATTTGGGTTTCCCAAATTAAATCTCTGTCAACTTAAATCCCTTGTTGGGTCTGAGCTGTTAGACCTGATCCCAGCAGTTCAGACTTAGCAGCTCAAAAGTGACACACTCTCTCCCTCACAAATATTTTCATATCCAGATGGAATTCCACAACTTGGAGAAATGAGCTAAAGGTCCATGTGAGAACACAACAGCTTGGTATTTTAGGCTCTTGGAGGGAACATGCGCAATTGAATTCATGTCTTTTCTACACGTCAGCCAGCACAGAAATTTCAGAGCAGATCATGACTGGCTTGATTTGCCAGGCTCCAGGCAGGTTGACTGTATCAAAATATGAATGGTCATGCATGAGCACACTAACAGCAACTTCAACAGCAAGGGAGTGCAGCAACACATCAGGTTAATAGGCGAATCAGAGTTCTGTAGATCCTATCCGCTTCAAATTTCTTTTGTAGTTGTCATTTCAGTTACCTAAGTGCTCACTTCTTTTTCTCGTTCTCACCCCCTATAGAAAATCATTAAAAAAAGATGCCCTACCTCTTTCCTCTGCAAAATGAATTCTTCTCATCTGAAATAAATTCATATCGCCTAGTACTTATAAAGAGGGTATATTAACCCATAATAATTATTCCCTATATTTTCACAAGTTATGAGATGAAAAACAAAGCCTCATGGCACTATTAAGAATTCTTGATCTCTCCCGCACCTTAATTTAATACGCAGTTTTCTATGCTACAATTAAAGTGGAAAGCAAACATGAATGAACAAAATGAACATTAAAGAGAGTGTGGAAAAAGGGGAAAGAATTTAATTCAAGTCACAAACATTAGCTTTTGTAAGTTTCTGCTTCAAAGGCTGTGCACAGCTACTGGAGTTTTCCTGTAAGCTGAACAAACAGGTGCCCAAATTTCACTGAACTTGAAGCCTCAACAACAAAGCTTTAGCTTTTATAGATAGTAAACGTGGTTGTCATTAATTTTAACTGTACTATAGAGCTGCTATCTTTTAGTGTAACTTTTAATAATCCATATGATATAACAGGTATGATAGGATAATGCAATTTTCCAGTTCAGAATAAAGACATGTAAGGTAAAAAGATGATAAAGCCCTGTTTCCCTTGTAGCATTACTTAGGGGGGAAAAAAAGACAAAACAAAAAAACACCCCACAGAAAACAGCACCTAGAATCTATTCTGTTTCAGTGAAAGTTTCCTTCTCCTCTCTTGTATAAAAGAAAGCAATCAGTTAAAGAGGAAACACCAAACACTAATTTTTATTTCATTAGGAAGAGAAGGTGTCTTCAAGATTCTGAAAAGCAGACGTTAAACACTGGAAAGAGCTACTTCCATTTAGTGCTCCTTTCTAGTTACCTTGCTTGACTTCTTGTTACCAAAAAAAGCAGAACAACATGCAAATGTAAAAGAAGCTTGATTTCTGGCATCACAGATAGCATCAGTGGAAGAAATAAATGTCCCTGCTCATTGCAGAAGGGTTGGACGAGATGACCTTTAAAGGCCCCTTCCAACCCAAACCATTTTATGATTCTAAGAAATTATACCACATTTGCCACTCATTTCTTGACCAAAGAAGTTCTACGCATTGCTCACTGAGAGGAGGTCACTGCTTCTGGTAAAATGCCAAACCCAAGAATCAGTAGAAGAGAGTCAACTTTTTACCCTTGACCTGTTCTCTCACACGGTTGGGCCACTACCTTGCCTAATATTTAAAGCCTATATTCCCATAGTTTAAAGATTAACTTGTCCCAAAGGCAATATGATGTATACGCAACTCATGAACATGTCTACAGAAATCAGAGCAAGTAACTATAGCTGTTACTTTCTCTCAGTCTTGTTCATTGCAGCCTTCTGGGTTGGGACAGAGTGAAATGGTTAAGGAATCTCACAGATGCTGGGAACAGTGCTTCTGAATCTCTGGATCCCAACTGTGATGTTCACAAGGTGACTCACTTGGGCTCTGCCATAGCTGCCTTTCGGAGACCCATGATGAACTGGCCATGATGAAAAGATCTTCCACTGGCCACGCGGCCATCCTCATATCTTGGATAAGGAATTTCAACCTCCGACTTGCTCTCTATGTCATGAATTATGTAACCATTTACTATTTGTGAATCAATACCTTCTACTGTATCTGCAAAACATAAGGCAATAGATGAGTTTAAAAAAGGTTTTAAGAAAGCTTAATTATGTATGAAAAGTATTTCTTTACATAGAGTCCAGTTTTCTTAATCAAAACACACATGTTGAAGGACGAATATTTTCAAAATGGCAGACAGGAAATATGCAAGCAATTTTAATTCAAATATTAAGCACAGATAATGTATCTCTTCATTTTCCCTGTAGGCGTGCTTATTCTAAAGACGTAAGTGAGTGTAGTAACTTTTGTGTTATAGATACGTTTACATTCTGAAATGCGCTCACCTTCAAGACCCAAGTCTCTAAGTGCATTAAAACCTCCAGGTTGCAACAATTCTCCAACAATCCTGTCAGGTTCTTTCAGATCCCTCTCTATCACAGTCACCTTTCTTCCATCCCTTGAGAGCACTGTGGCCAAGGAAGAACCAAGGACACCTGATCCCACAATGATAACTTCTGGATCATAATGGGGCGATAACGTTGTATTTGGAGCAGTCTCTGTCAGATATACATCTGGGAGGTTTACTTCTCTTTTACCCTTTAGAAAAGAAAGCCAACAAAGTTACATGTACCAATATATCTGTACCATAATGCTGTCAGAGGGTTGACTTTGGACTAGTTCTACTTTGACCCCAGGGACTGAGAATGCATCAATAGTTGGAGAGTATCTTCCAGTTCAGTTTTGTCCAAAATGAAATCAGTTGTACTCCACAATGCAACAAAACCACAACAAGCAGAAAAAAGGAAAAACAACACCCTCCCAAACAAAATCATGATGCTTGCTTAAAACTGCCCTACTGATCAAAGACAAACTCTGAGATACTAACATAGTCTCAGAGAGACAGAAAATCAAGTCCCTATAAAAGGCAGTAAGCCATGGCTGTCCCATATTCTTGGTCTATAAAGTAACACACCAATGCCTTCATACCAGTGAGCCACTGCTACACAGAGGCCTTAGCACTTTGCAATGAAAAAGGTTATCAGATGCACTGGAAAATGTATTTCCCTTTAATTTTACCATAAGTGAACCTACCTACCAAAATAACAGCTTATGGTAATAATCAGCACGCAAAAGAGTCAGTAGAAGCAGCTACCTGGGAAATGTTATAAAGAAGTGGTCCTGAAATGAAAACTCACCAGACAGTCAAAAGTATAGGCAAAATTACCATTCACCTACATTTAAAACTGTTAAGAGTCAATATACATCAGATTACATATTAGTTAACATATAAACTGGTACCTGAACACCAGCTATGTTACCGTACCTTCCCAACAGCATCTAATCACATACACTTCAAAGTGAAAAAAAGTTGTAAGGGCAATTCCAGTGCAAACTTGCAAGTCATTTCTCCAGCTGGTAGAATAAAGAATAGAGCCCAGTCCACTCTTTCACAAATGCCTCAGCACTACAGTGCTGACAACAGTAAAAATAGGATTGCATCAGCGAAACAACTGCCCAGAACAACACTAACACCAGGATTTCTAGTGGCATAGTGTCATGTTTGTATCTACAACGCAGCAAGGGTGTGCAAAACTAACTATCTGAATTCCGACAATACAAGAAATTGGGGTAAAGGCAGGCTTTACCAGAAAAACAAAATAAAAATCCAGAACGTTTGACTTGCAGCCAAAAATAGTTACCAGTTCTTTTGTGCAAGGGGTCAGCGCCCAGCTGAAAATGCCCAGAAGCACACAGGAAAGTAGCCAAACAGTGCCCACCCACAGATGTACCAAGTATGCGTGTCCAGTTGTGAGTCTTACATGGCAGGACTCCAGCTAAGCTCCAGCCACCAGCTACAGCTCTCTCCACTGTCTCACAGCAAGTCTCATGCTGGGCTCAGTGGAACAGACTGACTAGCTGAGCTCAGGTCCTGTAGCTGTTGTACAAGCAATAATTTAGCAATAATTTTCAAATAACTGTATCTGAAGTTGTCTAGACAAATGTGTTTTACACAGAAGTATCAGGAAGCCGATCACAGAACAGCTGAGGTTGGAAGGGACCCTTTGGAGGTCATTTGGTCCAAAGTCCCGCAGCTCAAGCAGGGTCAGTTAGACCAGGCTGCCCAGGACCACATCCTGTGGGGTTCTGAGTATCTCCAAGGATGGAGACTCCACCACCTCTCTGGGCAACCTGTGCCAGTGCTCGGTCACCCTCACAGCGAAAAGCCGCTTCCTGACGTTGAGAGGGAACCTCCTGTGTTTCAGTTTGTGCCTATTGCCTCTTGTCCTGCCACTGGGCACCACTGAAAAGGGGCTGGCTCCGTCCTCCTTGCACCGTCCCCGCAGGTATTTATATACATTGACGAGATCCCCCTGAGCCTTCTCTTCCGCAGGCTGAGCAGCCCCAGCTCTCTCAGCCTCTCCGCACAGGAGAGATGCTCCAGTCCTCCATCTCTGCAAGAGACTGGCAGCTGAAGGTATTTTTCTGCTGGTATAATAATCCTTTACTACAAATCTTTCTTTAAACACATTTGATTTGACTCTACAAAACCCTTGCTGTATCACTTAAACAAGTTTCACTGTTTCTTTTGTTGTCCAAAACTAACAGAAAACATGACAAATCAGACATCCAGCATCTAAAGACAAACCTTTCCAACCCTTTCTTAGCTCCCTTCCCTCACCAAGGCAGAGCATCAGTGGCACCCCATGTGCCATGCCCGAATTGCACCTACCTTTCTGGATTTGGGTTGTTCGACTTGCTGAGATCCTGGGGTGGGTTTTGTCCAGAAGAAGCCAACAAGCGGTAAAGCTGAGAGAACATCAGAGAGCATCCCGAGGTGGGTCTTGCGCTGCGGCTGCTGCTTGGGCCCCCTGAAGTGGTCCCTGTACGACAGCAGCAAGCCGAGGGAGAAAAACACTAACGCAGAGAGTAGCACCTCCTTATTAGCGTAAGTCATAAGGTCGCCGCACTTTTTATACACGTAGATGAAGGAGGCGATACCGAGAAAGGTCCACATCGTGAGGGGACTGGTCACTGTTCCTGGATGCTTCCTCCAAAGCCTTCCCGTCGACGGATGCTGCCCAAAACGGGGGGTTGCGCAAGGTATGGAAAAAGTCTACGTATAGAAACGCACAGACTTCCTTTGCGATGGAAGGGAGGGAAGTCTCAATGAAAAACCAAGGAGCTCCAC